TAATTTCAGCATGGAAATATCGACTCTTGTACATTTAAAAATTAATCTTCCTCCTCCAATAAAAGTCGGGAAATCATTTAACGAACGTGTTCGAAGCTCGTTTTTTCGCTCAGCAAGAATTTGTTCGGGCGTACAGTGGGAATATTTGATGCATAATTTTTGCAAACGATTCATTTTAAATTAGAGAAAATAACTACATCGTTGTGGTTAATTTAACTTAATGGATAAAATAAATTCTTGCCTTTGTAATCTTACTGCCAGCTTTTTCTAGTAGAATTGCAGGACTTTTAATGTTATAAAATTGCATGTGTGAAATTAATTATTTGTTCGCAGCGAGGCAAAATCGCCTATGAGCTAAATTGCCCCGGACATCATTTGTCTCTCAGAACAGTGGTTAAACGGTAATTACAATCTTTAGTAACTGTAAATTAATTACTAGGTTTGCCAAAACTATTAAAGGTCGTGATGCTGAAATCTATCAATAGGAAGAACTAATTTTGATTTATCTCTTTCAAATGAAGATTTTATTGCATGTGACAATTGAAACATTTTCATCAGTCGTTTAACAATAACAACCTTCTATACAAAGCTTCACGGATGAGTAAACAGACGTTTGTTTAACCTGCTTATTGAATGTGGCCTGAAAAACGTGTTTAATTTGCTACAGAATGATGTAGTTTTCCAGTAAACGAAATGAATACCACATCAATTTTATTTTTTTTGTGACCTCAATGAAATGTCGGCATTTTCTGCTTTCTGTCAGTTGCTGAAAGGTATTTTTTTTTATTCTTGAATCTAAAATAACTTTCCCATAAAAAATGAAATATTTTAAGAAACGAGTGACAGTCATTTACGGTTTAGTTTTGCCAAGGTGTTGTAAAACCGTACCAAGTATGACATCTGGTATCTTTCTATTTCTATCTTCGTTCGACACACGGTATTTATGCAGGTAAAGTATAGCCGCACTTCTTAGCTTATAGGGACGGAAATTATACCCGCAAAAATACAGTGTGACGGAGGAAGACAGGAACACGAACATACAGTTTTACAACACCTATGTACCGATATGTACATGATATGAAATATAATATAATTATTGTTGAAAAAATTCTGTACCAAATCTTCTTTTCTGCAACCTTATATATTGGCAACGAATAGAAATATTGAAATTATAAACGCCATTGCTTTTAGCTTGAAGGGTGCGTCAATTTAATATACTACAAATATGACGTAGGTATACATGCGAGCCAATGTGTATTTATTTTAACATGTTTTGATAGATCTTTAAATTACGATTAGATGTTGATTTTATTATCAGTTCATAAAAAATAAAATTTTTAAATATAAAAAAAAGTTGAGTGAAATACTGGAGTATTTTACATACGACTAGCAAGATCTGTTTCAAAAATATTTTTTCCTAATTCATTAGGATTAAAATCTAGAATATGAGCCCGCGATTTGTTAAAACATGCACGTTGCCTAGCAACGGACCTCAATTAAAAGTTAATCGCGAATTAGCTGTAATTGGCTTTCTATAAACCGGGTCTTAATCTTCTAAAACACGCAAAGGTCGTAAATATGCTAAATCGTTTATGTATTACCACACAACGAAATCTAAGGGTGTTAAATCTGGACTGCGCGCTGGTCATGGAGCAGGGCCTTTATTGTAATCCAATTTTCAACATAAATATGTTTTAGAAGTAAAAAGTTGCTCGAAAGCTGTTTAGACAGAACTTCTCTCGCACCTAGAGACAAACATTCGAACAAATTCAGTGTCTTAGAAAAAAAAATCGACGAGGGGAGTGCAGAGCTCAAGTTACTAAAATTTAACGCCTTCAATTACCCACTTATCTCTTACGTGCCCGAGATATCACTTACGTGAAATACATACACATATATTGTTGTAAAGTAATTGCAATTAAAAAATCAAGGCGGGTTCATAAACAACAAATACAGAAGTATATTATTATATAAAATTTGAATAACATTTGGTATGAATATTTTGCAGCAAGGTGGTGAGGCTGATTAGACAAATTTTGATTAGTATTTTACCACCTAAATGATATTCCTAAAATACATATAACAGTTGACAAGAATCAATTTGGTAGTTTCGCAGAATATATCCGTTTAATAAAAGTCAATACAGACAGACAGACAGACAGACGGAAATGTGAGACCCATTTTTTCGTATTCTGGGTTATGTGACGTTGAGAAAGTAGCCATTAGTCGCATGGACCTTATTACAAGACGTCCTTAGCTCTTTTACTCGGGAAGTAAAAACTTTACTATTTTGGTCAGACAGGACTATAGAAAATTGAAAATCATTTTAGTGTAAGATTCTTGGCGTTAAAAGTCGAGAATAGTTTAATTCATTTCTACGGTACGTTATGGCAAATAAATATATATCTCCACTTAGATAATTTATACTATTTACACCTAAAACTAACACAGCACTTTATCAGTGTTTTTATAATTGTAATCGTAATTTAATGGTGTATCAAAATTCGGTAAAGAAGTTTACATTGCAATTAAAAAAAAAATAGATTTCCATAGCGACACTGCGGCCATAATATATGCGTCACATTTGCCATGTAGGCTAAATTAAACTTCCCCCTTCAAGCTAAACGCAGTGGTGCTTACAGAATTTCAATATTCAGCGCGTATATCACGTTAAGGTATTATCATTACAAGTAAATTCGGAGGTTGCCAAGTTCACTGGAAATGTATTACTGTTGGTTGCTTACAGATTTTATTTCACACAAACCCACAACTTACTAAAACTTCTCCTTTCTTCATGACAGCTCCATAATGCAGAAAAATTTCATTGCTTCCATCATAGTTAGTTGATGTCAACTGTGTTTGCAGTGTTAAAATTACGTCTTGATCAAAAATCCGAATACCCAAAAATAGTGTGGTTCTTCTGTGACAACAACATCTACCTGAAGGACGTTTGTAATGAAATGATGACGACTGCTTTGTCATTTGTCACTGTTTCTTTGAAACATATTATTAGTCTTACCTTTGGTATTGTTATGTATCGAAGCTACGGAAACACCATGCTTAATTCCAATGTCGAAAAAGATAAATTTCCTTCTTTAAACGATCTGTATTCAACCTGTGCCTTTAATGATCGCAGAATCTACTATTTATCGACAATTTGCAACACTACAGCACTGTACCAAACAGGTGGTCAGTTGCAAAAGTCAACAAGTTGAAAAAGTGAGGTTAGGTTGTACCATTTCCCACTGTCAGTTGTCATCGATTAAATTGTAAGGTTTATTGCAGACATACTTCCTAATGTTTACGAAAAGTCAATGCCATGTTGATGACTTTTTCAACATCTGATATCTTTGTTTCAGTTAGGAATTATTCTTGAGTTTGGGTTTCATTTTTTCAGAAGCAACAAATTTGTAAAACTAGATCAGTTATGAAGTTTACAAATGGCCAAATGTAGAGATTGTGTCAGGATTTGAAAGTGTTAAAATATTTTATTTGGCACATCACGAACGTTCTTGGATGTTGAGCTTAACATTATTAGTAATAATTTAAAAACTAAAAAACTGAATTTGTAAACATGGTTGATAATTTCAATGTTATATTTAATTCGTCAATATTATTTTATCTCTCAATATTATATAATTATATAAGATTTAAACAACTATCTAAAAATGTTAAACATTATTATTATTGTTATGATTCCAAAATCAAAATATATAAAAAAGCCTACTGTAACTATAAAAGATATTTTCTTATGTCATGAACAGAACCATTTGTGCAGGTTAAGCAAATTGTTTCAAAAGAATTTTCTCAAGCTTTTCATTAATTAAATCCGAAAAAGTAAAAACAAACGTTTTTTTTTTGTGCCAAAATTGGGAGCCTGTAGTGAAGAGAGTTCTTGAAATAATAACCAATGCTGAACGAGAAACTTAGAATTGTTTTAAAAATGCTGTTAACATATCTGCCAAAAAAATTTGAAGTTAAAAGATGGGTGTAAACGTACATTTCCCGCAGCACCATCATCGTTCAGATGATTTTCCCGAAAATTTGAGAAAAATTAAGAAAACACAGAAGAGTGGGAATCAATAGTAACAAGAATGAAGAAACCAAGAAAAGTGGAATACAAATAAGATGGCAAATTCAATCAGATGGAGAAAAGGGGTTCCGCAAACGACAATATGCAGTCGAAGAAGTCGGATGAAAAGAAACAAATTTGCCCTAAACCAAAAGAAATAAAAAATCCACAATTTCTTTTAGAAAGTTTTAATAAGTTAGCTGCAGTTTTACAAAAGTGTAGTTTGTAGTAACACTAACGGCATAAAATTATAGCGTTTTGTCTTAAAAGTCGTCACACAAAGCTCTATTGTTTAATTAGACTACTTAATCGTCACATTTTTATTTATGTTCGTGCATACCTGAGTTCTCGTAAGCTGAAAACAAATTACAAGTTGCCACAAAGTGAAAATTTTAATAAACTGTTCGGTCACGTCAAGAAATTGCCCTAATTAGCTTTAAAGCGACTGCAAAAAGACTATTTACTGAAGAGGGATTCAGTTTTTCAGACGAAAAAGCAGGATTTTCGTTTACAGCGTTTTTGATATTTTTATACCTTAGCTGTAACTCCTTGACCTACGCGAAATAAACTCATATAGGTATTTTCGTAAAATTAATACCAACAAAATTTGGAAACTCATGTACCAAACAATAATAATAATTATAATGAGTCACCCCAATTTTTGCATAGATGTGGCTCATACAATTAACTAAGTTTTGCTTACTTTGAGTCCTTTACAGAACAGTTATTTACCGTCAGAGTTCTTTAAATATTTATTAACTCTATCTTAGGCCGTAACTTTTTGTGGTCTCTGATCGTGCGTATGTGCGAAAATCATATCCCGGTTTATTAGGGCGCGAACTGGAGATTTGTCGGGACGCGATGCGGAAAAATAAGAACACAGAGAGAGGAAAACGGGCTTTGCATGCACGTAGGGCCATAAATTTACCTTGCAATAATCCGCAAAGTACGCCAAAACAATTCGGCGACACAGTCCTGCACACCGCAACGTTAAGCGCACAGAACGGCTTAAATTAAGCGAATTTCGTCTTTTGCACTTGCGGGAAGTTCGGAAGTTCGAGAATTGCTCAAAATGTTAATTGCAGCGAACTGGTGGATGGCACATTGCGAGCGGGTTGCGTGGCGGCATGCCGTCGGCGCCTCGTGCTGGGTCCGGAAAAACTGGAGGAAATCGCCCCGATTCGCCTCTTCGACGACGGTAAACTGGAGCTGGATTTATCCAGGGAAACCCGGCAAAAGTCGCGCTGGCGCACAGCCCCGACTTCGGCACGCCGTTCATTACCGCGATAATTGTGCGAGTTTTAGGGTTGATTGCGTTTTTCAGGAGCGGCGGAGTTTATTTTTTACGCCGGTGCCAAATTTAATAATGGCAGTAATAGTGGGAATAATCGGGAGGATGATGTCTACTTCGGGCGAAGATCGCCGCGATCTGGCGTGAATTTTTTAAATTTTACCGACGGCATTGTGGGTTTGGAGGAAGAAAGGGTGAGAGATCGTGGCATTGTTGACGGTGATGCCCAATGTGACCGTTTATAAATAATTGAAGAGTACTTAGGTGTTGTAAAATAGGCTGAAGACGGGTACGTGTTTGTTTCAAATTTCAATTTACTTTAATTGCGAGCGACTGGGTGTCAAGTAGTTAAATTAATTTATAATTTTCTCTTATCAATTACCGAGCCGACGGCTTTCATTCAGTCTTGATGTATATTTGATGCTGACTGCATCGTGTTTTAAGATTAGATAATTTTAACGCTGACAAAATAAACTGCGAAAATTCATCAGATAAATTTATTTCAATAGTTATTATTCAAAAATAAATTACAAAATATCTGCTTATATTCAATTCTCCAACACCACTAGTACTTTAACGAAATAGGTAAAATTCTCATGATGTTGTTACCAGTGAAACTTAACAAATTCAAAATCTGCATTTTTTTAAACGTCTTGAGATCCCAAAATTTTTGATAAAATTTTCACTTTCTGATCTAACATAAAAATAAGGAGAATAGTTAGTAATTGTCTAAGAACTTTAGGGAGTTTTAATTAGTTCAAAGCTAATATTAGAACCACAAATGTCAAAATGCACACTTTGTTGAGGCCAACTATGTTGGCAATAATCTTATCACTGGACTTTGCTGTTTTGAGGAATTTAGGTGCATGTCAATACTTAAACTGAAAGTTTTTTTGGTGAAATTTAAAACACGAGGTCAAGTCAGAGCAACTCAGGTCAAGTCAAGTCAGATCTGGTTAGGTCAGGTCAGGTCAGGTTAGATCAAGTCAGGTGGTAGGAAAGACGCGCATCGGTCTTAGTCTCTGCTCGACGAAGCCAAGCAACCAAATAACCAACTGGAAGGTAGAGGTTGACGACGAAAACTTTTGTGACCATAACAATATCGTGTTCGAACTCATTCCGACAAAAAAAAATGTAACGTACTGAAAATTGCAGAGCGATTATCGGGAAAACAAACGAATAGAGGCTGGAAAATGGAAAGAAAAAATATGAACACCTTTACATAAAACTTCAATAAGGAGTTGGAACAAAACAAAGAAGCAAAATATGAAAGTTTACCAAAAGGGATAATTTCTACCACAGCCAAAGCGGGAGATAAATCTTTCAAGAAAAAGAGACTATCGAAGGGATCAAAGACTCCAGTTTACTGGTGGAACGATGGAGTTGAAGACGCTCGAAAAAACTGTCTCAAACAAAGGCGAAAACTGATGAAGACCAATAAGAAAAAGGGTGTTTTTCAAGATGAGAAAGAACAAGAAAAAGAAAAATATAGAACGCTAAAAAAGACCCTAAAGAAGGAGATTCAAACAGCAAAAGCCAAAGCGTGGCAAACAACTTGCCACGTGTTAGACAACGACCCATGAGGAAAAGCCTACAAGATCGTCATGAACACGTTTAAACTGGCTCCAAGGACTCTTCTAGACGAGGAGACAACGGATAATCAAATACTCAAACTGTTTCCGAGAAGAAGCATCTCAACGCGGAGGATACCCACGGTAGATAGGAGGGAAGTACCTCTGTTCACTATGGAAGAACTTCAGCAGACGGTGAGAAAACTAAAAAAACAGAAAAGCGCCAGCACCGGACGGCACACACTTGAGATGTTGAAAGCAATCATCGAAGAACATCCAGAAGAAATCCTAGACGTTATGAATAAGTGCATAATAGATGGAAAATTTTCAAAGGAAAGTAGGCCGCTTAGTACTATTAGAAAAAGAAGACAGGGGAGACTGGGACGGAAGATCATACCGCCCGATCTGTTTGTTAGATGCGTGCGTAAGTATGATTAGGGACAGATTAGAGAAAAATATCTCGGAAAAGGGTGACCTACATGTACACCGATACCGATTTCGGAAAAAGAGATCGATTGTAGATGCAGTATGAACGGTGAAGGAAACTGTGAAAAAAATAAAGAAAACCTCCTATAGACATAGAAAGGTGGCGACAATGGTGGCACTAGACATCAAGAATGTATTTAACATAACCGATTGGAGCATAACCTTGGAAGAACCGAAAAAGAAAAACGTGCAACCACATTTGATTCGAATAATGAAAAGTTACCTAGAATGAGATGGATAGAAACAGAATATGAGGGTATGTTCCAAATGTCCTGCGGGGTACCGCAAGGCTCCGTTTTGGGGCCGACATTGTGGAACATATTCTACGATAAGTTGTTAAAAACAATGCCGTAGTTGATTGCGTTTGCCGAGGATTTGCCAATCGTAATCGTGGACAAGGAGGAGAAAGAATTAAAACATAAGACAGAAATGGCCTACAGAATGGTAAAATCTAAAGTAAAAGAACTACGTTTAGAGCTAGCGGAGCATAAAACACAGGCCGTGCTTCTACAGGACAGGCGCAAGATAAAAGTCATGACGCTAAATTTAGAGCAAGGTGGACCTCCGGTGAGGACAACTGAAGAGATCCGATACCTAAGGTTACAATCGACAAGGACATGAAAATGACAACGCATGTCAGAGACGTCACTAAGAGAACTGACAAGACGTTCAACAACCTAAAAAGTATAATGTCAAACATAGAAGTGCCAGGGTCGTCAGATAGAAAAATCATAGCTACGGTGGCACTTTCCACACTGCTGTATGGATGCTACAGAAGTCTCCTGAGCAAAACAAGTCGAAGAATAGCTATCATGATAACCAGTGGCTATCGTACAATCTCTATGAGCGCATTATTTGTTGCAGCCGGCATGATGTCGATAGATTTGAAAGTGCAGAAAAAATGCCAGGTGTACGAAAGGGGGAAAGATCACAGACAGGAAATTGAAAACAAAATATGTAAAGAATGGCAAAATAGATGGGATAAAGCAGAAGGCGAAACAGCAGGATGGACCAAAAAACTAATTCCAGATCTCCAGAAGTGGGTAAATAGGAAGTGTGGCGAGACGAAGAACTACTATGTGACACAGATGCTTTCGGGACACGGGAACTTTGCGAAACAGACACAGAGAATCGGCAAGAGCGAAACGAGCGAATGCTGGTACGAGTGTGAGGAAGACGATACAGCAGAGCACACACTTTTTGCGTGTGCAAAATGACGAAACAAGAAAACAACATTGGAAGAGCAAATGGGCAAAAAAATTGACGACAAGAATCTCGTGGAAACAATGCTGGAAAGCAAAGATAAGTGGACCGCAATAGAAAACTTCATGCGAGAGGTAATAGATGCTAAGGCCAAGTACTAGGGATGTACCGACTAGTGGCCGACCGGTCGGATAAGCCGACTATTCGGCCGTTTTTCATCGTCGGCTGCAGTCGGCGACTAGTCGGCTAAACAGCCGATCGGTCGGCTTTTTTTATTAAAATTAAAATAGTATATAAAACAATTAAACCCGGTTGACAGAACCTCAATTAAATATTTAATTGCGATTTAATTTTTAACCCCGCGTTAAAGTACCATGTGACCGACTTTACGCCAATCAGACGTCGCTAATGGCCTTGTTAAATGCGCGATTAACTTAATCTCAGTTGAAATATTCTATAAACTGGCCCTAAATTGTGTTATTCTTTATTTTTGTACTGAGTTACAAAAAAAATTAAATGTTAAAATTATCCAAACAAATTTAACACATTTTTTGGAAAACAAAGGAACTTTAGTTATTCCTTTTATTAAAATAGAACAAATCTTTAAGGTAGTCAGAGAAATATAAAAAAAACACTGTTTGTCGCATTTATAAACCGGTTTTAGCAAAGCCGAACAGTCGGCCGACTAGTCGGTTTTTACTGGCCGAACAATCGGCTAGTCGGTTAGTCGGCCAGACCTACAGTCGGTACATATCTACCAAGTACGTAAGAGACATCCGAGACAATTAAAAAAAAGATGAGGTCAGGTCAGGTCAGGTCAGGTCAAGTCACTTGCAAAGAAGAATCTCAGAAATGACAGAAAAAAAGCTAAAGAGGAGAAATGGAAGGAACTCAGCCAGAATATTGAACAGGACATATTTGGAGATGCCTACAAGATAATAAAGTCCCAAATGAAACTGGAGAAACGAATAGAGGTGTTTAAGGAACTATTTATGCCAAAGCAAAGTGAGACGAGGTGTAGGATAATCCTTGAAGAGATACAAGACTTCACCGAGGAAGAGATAATGCAGGTTTGCTGCAAACTAAAACCAGGGAAAGCACCCGGTATAGTGCGAGATTTGCAAAGGCCCTGAAAGAAGCAAATACATCCTTTTTGCCGAGAAATATATAAAACCGGCTCCTGAGACGAAACAATTTCCTCGAAAAATGGAAAACCGTCAGGTTAGTACTAATAGAAAAACCTAAGAAGTATGAAAAGGAAGAAAGCAAATGCAGACCAATATCTAATATTAAAAAGGCTGATGGAGGAGGTAGAAAAGAGCGGCGGCCTAAAAAGAAGAAAGACATCACTTTATCTTACCAACGTAATTAAATCATATTTCCAAGACAGGAAGATACAGACTGAAAGAGACACAGATATGGAAGTGGGTGGAAAGGTACCCCAGGGATCCGTACCTGAGCCAATTCTCTGGAACATTTTGTATAACGACGTCATGTAACTGGAAATTGGGGAAGGAGTAGAATTGATATCCTATGCGGATGACCTGACAATATTCATCACACCACGCAGAAGAAACCAGCTCATTGAGCTCCAGCTCACCTGGAAATAGCTCCAGAAAAGTCACGGGCCATGATTTTCGGTATGAGCCCAAAAATAAAAGTGGGGGCATCGATGTTTTATGGCGTACGTTGAAAGAATAGGGACAAGAGAGGATCGTAAATGTATGTACTATGATCTGTATGATGACGCAGAACATACTGTACTTAGATGTCAGAGATGGCACAGGCAAAGATATGAAATGGGGATGGGGATAGGGGTCCAGATTACCAAGGAAAACCAAGTTTCATGATAAAGGAGATCAGTACAAAAGAGGAGGACTAGAGAAGGCGAAGAACATTATTAATGATATCAAAATACAGGACTTACCCTGAAGTTATGTGCAAACGGTACAGGGGAAAGTCCGAGAAGAAGAGTAGGCAAGGGTTTAATTGGTAGGTGCGCCATAGATTGGCCCGAATCCAACACGCTCGGGCACCTTTTTAAACACCCCGAGTGTCTTTAGAAGATTTCCTGCCTCCTCTGAAATATATATAAAAAAAGGTAAAAAGTTCAGGTCAAGAGAAAGCGCATGTCTGAAGGTCCAGGAATCATACAGTTATTAGATATCCAGCCGACAATCCGTCTCTCAAAATTAAAAGCGAAGATAGATCAAACAGAGAAATTCAGTCCAATGTCTACAAAGACATCAAAGTGTAGAGGAGAAATGATGAAACTGAAAAATGATCTGAAAAAACTGAAGAAAAAACAGGAGACTATGGCCGTGGAAACTAGAGCAAACACAAAAATCCATACAAGAGCAACATGGAAGAGACTAATGCAGAACTGAAGATAGACCTAGATAAGGAAAAATTTCAAACCTATGAGGATCTTGCCAAAATATGTAACAAGAATTGGCACCGCAAATGCTTTGCAAATACGAAAGTCGAGCACTCTGATATATTACAGAGTAAGGCGATAACATCACGAAGGCCATATTTCATGGTTCCCAGTGTAGCGTTAAAATAATGAGAAGCAGTAAAGAATAGGACAAAGGAATCAGAAAAAAGGACGAAGCAGTACAAAATAGGCAAGAGGAATATGTACGCAAATGAACCCTGTACAGTATCAATCGTTAATTCTACTCAGTTACACAGTGATGAAATATGGTGCTGGTCCGAGCTTTATCTGCGACGAACTTGCAGAATATATGTATTTAGTACAGCGTCTACGTCTATGAATGACTTAGAGAAGAGAAACAGAAAAAAGAATAAACTTGTCATCACGGGCGACTTTAACCCAAAACACCACTATTGGAGCGAGAACAAAACAGATGAAAAGGGAGTGACAATGCTAGATTGGACGTATGCCTTGGACTTAAACATCCTTAACGACAGAAAGAAACCCACCTTGATAAACCACAATGGAATATCATACGTAGACGTGACTATCGGCTGTAATAAGACCAAACAGCCTGAGTGGCGACCACCAATTTATACTATTGAAAATGCCGAATAAAAAACCGAAGGACGGCAGATGGAAATTCAGGAGGACAAATCTGATAATCCTAAAAAAGTCTTCCAGAAAGAAATACGAAGTAGAGAAATTCATGGAAGACGAGATACTAGCGGTACGTAACAAGTTAAAAGATAGAAAGGCTCCAGGCCCTGACGGTCTACCACCTGAAGTAGTCAAATCGATAATTGGAAATAACGTCGATTACTTCGATGTCCTGTTTCACAACTTGATGCTGAAAAATTACTTTCCTGTCAGCGGGAAATGCGTAATATGGAAGGATGGGTTAAAAACTAAAAAATATAGATAAATCTAAGGGCAAAAAAGGATTGCGAATATTCTGAGCACACCAGTAGTGATGTCGTGGGACCTATTAGCGGAAGAGACAACCAGAAGAAGAAGAAATAGAGAAGAAAAATTTGAGGTACGAAAAAAGTATTCCCAAAATGACTGGAACGGTGGCAGTTAGGTAGTTGGATAGGAAAGTGGATAAAAATAAGAAAACTCTGAAATATTAGACTGTGGACCAACTACTACATGACCCAAATGCGAAAGAATCACGGGGAACTTTAGAGCTATCTAAAAAGTATTAAAAATGGGAAGCAGAAATCTGGATATACTACCAAGAAGACGCTGACAAGCGAAAACATGTTTTGTTCAATGCCATCAAAATAGTAATAGAGGAAATAATGAGAAAGACGATAATGCGGACGATAATGCAGACAGATGATAAATATAATAAAAGAAAATAATAGGGATAATGGAAAATATTATGAAGAAAAAAGAAGATAGGAGACGATTTGAATTAAAGGATAGAAGGAGAAGTTGAAGAAACAAGACGACTCTCCTCCGAAGTATGCCGTAAAAACCCCGAACAGCAAGAGTGGGGAATCCCACATATCGGGTGGTTCTAGGAGTACGGCCTCTCCCCTCAAAATAAAAAAAGCCAGGTAAAGTTAAATCAGGTCAGGTAAGATCACGTCAGGAATTATGTCAAGTCAGATTAAGTAGGGGTGTCACAAAGACCAGTTCTTGGTCCCATACTGTGGAATTTGTTGTATGAACAAGTACTAAGGTTAAAAGCGGACGATTTGGCTGTGGTTATAACGGGGAAAAGGAAAGAACAACTCAAGCAAAGAACAAAAAATGCTTTGACGCCGATTCACCACAAAATCGATCAGATGGATTTGAGAATGAACAAAGATAAAACAGATGCAATCATCATGATTGGAAGAAGAAAAATTAAAGTATTGCCTATCACAGTGATAGAAGACTTCAAATTTAAAACGAGCCAGGAATTTAAATACTTCCACTTTCTATTGAACAGACCTGAGGGTGACGACAAAGCAGACAGAAAGATCATGGTTATCATCAAGCTAATGTCAAATATTGGGGGCCCTAGAGAACTTCAGTTTACGCAAACTATGGTCATATCTATGACAACTGGAAAGTGGATTGAAAGATAAGACTTAGTTAAAATTAAAGATAAACAACGCTACCCGTAATCAAATTTGGGAAAGGTGCATGTTTGGTGTGTTAATTTTCCGGACGCTTAATAGCAAAATTCAGTTACGGATTGTACATATCCACAGGCAGTTCCAAAACTGCCACAGAAAGAATACGACGTCAAACAGTCTCATACTTTTAACTCTCTTGGTATACTAAAATCAAAGGATTTTACAAGTATGAGGTTGAGCAGATGTCAATGGAAATTGACAAGAACTGCCAATTGTTATCTGGACAAAGAGTGCAAAGCAGAGGAAGAATTGGACTTGCACTTTTTTAAAGAAAGTAAGGAATTTTTTATCGAGAAATCCAAAATTTTACTTCACAATACTCACAACTGTAATGTGTAATTTGACATTAGTGGTTTAATAATCTGCAGTATTTTTAACTTTATGTCTGACGTTTCTCTTTATGGCTCTCTAACACTTTTAATAATGAAATTTAACTGGGTTTTTT